GTGTGTGTGTGTGTGTGCGGCAGGAAGGGAGGTGGGGTGATATCTGCCATTGACTTTGACCATCAAGACCAAATAAAGAAAGGAGATACAATGGCCATAGTAGCTTCTGAAACAAGGAATACATTATTGTGAGTCTGTTACCATTAAAAATGTACATTGTAACTCTTATACATTTAATTCTAATCTTTATCAACTTTGACAGACTAATCGGTGTGAACACGCACTACTCTTTACGAAGACTTGCAATGGGACAGAGACCCAGCACATTAGTTTTTTATGTAAGAGCATGTTATCAGCAGAATAGGACCAACGCATAATTATATTTGTTCTGTATATATTATGTCCTTTGTTCCTCAGGGAATACAAAAGCTTAAGTAAACACAAAACACACCCACACACAGTTGCTGAAGTTAACAAAGGGGCAGTATTCAATACTTGCAGGTAGACCTCATCCCGTACCTTTATCCCTCTTCAGACAATGTGTATCTGCTGCCCCCTTTAGGTCACTAAATGTTTGACAGCTTCTGGCTTTCTTTCTCACAAGAAATACAGGCTCAGTTTGTCATGAGTGTGGCATCTAGTGGACAACACACAGAAACAACAGGTAATAATGAAAAGGAAGTTTGAAGCCACGTCCAGAGTTTCGTTGAATTAAAAAAAATAATTATTTTATTTGCCATAAAACTGACTTGTCAAACACAGGTGGAGCTAATAATGAGGCTGCACTGAATACTGAAAAACTGCCAAATTGAATGACAAAAAAATCAAGAAATCCGTTTTAAAATATGACATTGCTATTTGATTTACTTGATTTATTTTATTATCCAAGTTCAGCCACCCAAGACTTTTGTTCCCTTACAAAAACCTCCAAGGCTGCCAACAGACTTGTTTTCATTAAACATTCATGAATACGATTGATGAAATTCTTCCAGATTCAGAACAGCATTCTTGAAATGTGCAGATCTGCAGAAGATCAATGTTCCTGTTGTTGAGCTGCAGCTTTTCTGTCTTGCACCAACAAAGGCTGAACTGCATCATTAAAAATATATTTCACACAAATACATTAAATGTTAATTAAACAAGAACACATTGTAATCTGACCATGGAAAGAGTGGGCGGGGCTTACGATGGCACTACTACAACACCGAGGCTCCTCTTTGAAGAGGGCACCTTCCTTTCAGAAAGTATTCTAGGGATACAGTGAATCATCCATGCCTACAAGTAACGGGATTACATCGGGGGTTAGTAGGTCCAACCATGCTGTCAATGGGTCCAACAAACTATCTTTGGCTTACAGTATTTCCTTACATCACCACATTGCAGGTTTCATAAGCGATGGTGGAACGACTGTCAAGATAGTTCCCCTCTTACTCTTATCCCCAGTAATGGCATACACCATATACCACACTGTAACACCATGAGACCACAACACCACATATATTAGACTACGCAAAGTAAATCCCACGTGTCATGGGCTTGATACACGCAATTACTGCATCCCTGTTCCCGATTCAGTTAGAAAAACCAAATCTTAAGCAGAAACGGAAGTAGACGGCGGTGTACTATCTTGACCCACTAGTGAGTTTCCGCCCACCGCCTCCTCTGACCAATGAACGAAGCCGGCACAGCATCCTCCAGGGCCGCTGGAGTTCGCGGGAAACCGGCTGTAGTCGTGTTACTTCAAGCACAACTGGAGTCCGGTTTAAACAACAGTCTCTGATACTAAATCAGTGTTTAATTCAACGATACGTTTCAAACGACTGCGCTCGAAAACAGAGCAGTGACACGGTTTAAAACGTCCGCTTGACTGCTGCCATGGCTGCTAGGCTAACAGCCGACGCTTAGGGAGCTAGCTAACGGGAGGCTGTCACATTGGCTAACAGCGCGGACAGGATAGAGAAAACACTGCCGACTACAAAGAGACAAAGGGCTGCCCCTGTCAGGCACGAAAACACCGCGAAAGAGTATGTTCAATCTAGACCGTTTTCGCTTTGACAAGACGGCAGCGACGACGACGACAAAGAAAGAGGACAGCGGCTCCAAAAGTCCAGAGTCAGAGAAGGAGAACAAGCCAGGTTGGTAGCTGATGTTGAAGCTAGCTCACAATGGTGGTAGCCAGATGTGTGAGGCGTACTGTTGTTCGCAGGAGTTCAATAAGACGGTTATCGTTTACATGCTGCCAGATGCTGCAGGCCACAGTGACTGTTTCCTGTAATAATGGAGTAGGCGCTCAGGAGGCTCGTACAGTCAGAGGTTCTGATGTAAATGTGCATTGCATTTGCATTATCTTTATTATTGTAATGAGATGATGTGCCTGTGGTGTAGCTGGGCAATGTTGGTAAAGTGTAATATCACTGTACTTTTAAAGAGCAAGGTTCAACACCAATAATGTGAAGGTGTTTTAGAAATGGCTTTTGGAGCAGTGAGACAATGTTATTCTACTCTGCAACTCTTCAGACTAGGAAAACAAAGGTTACTCTCATCGTATATAACAATAGGATGAGATCTTACGCGTCAATATGTCACCCAGTTGTCCAAGTAAGTTATGTCAAAATGTGAAATGTAGGGGGCATGTACCAATCTAGTAATTGAAAAATGATCCTTAAATCTATCAGTGTTTCTGACCTGGATTCCTAACTACTTCTTCTTCTTCTTCTTCTTTGGCTTTCTAGCAGGCTACAAATCAACATTAAAGGTGCTGCGGATCCCTAACGCAGCCACAGTCTTTAATTTCTACCTTCAGGCAGCTTTGGAGGAGGCAGATGCCCAATAAAATAATAAATTTGATAGTAACTTGTGAAGACATGGCCATTATTCTCAGGTTTAATTGTTGTCACTGTTG